AAGTATATTACATTAGCTTTAATTTAAGATATATATAAAAGTGTCAGACCTTCCGGAACACTTTCAAAAGTTAAGTAGAAAAATGGTAGCACAGTGGGATTGAAGCACAGTGTGGACGAGGTATAGATGGAACAAGTATAGATGATACCTGACAGTGATTAAAATCACTATCATAAGAAACGCTTCGATGCAAATCTGTAGATAGTGTTTCATTTAGAGAAATTGGTGGATTATTCCAAAAGCAACATCAACTCTTATTTCTTTAATTATATTCTACAATTGAAATATCTAGAACTAAATTAATTTTAATGATTTACTTTAACTAAAAAAAAAAAAAGTTATCATTTTGAATCCATCTTGTGGGCAGGTAAAGGGTTAGATTTATAAAAAAAAACCAAATGATAGGTAAAGACATGCATCTGAATAAAAAAAAATTATACTGATTTGGTCATTTTTGATAAAGTTTAACAGTTAATAAAGTTATAAGTTTTATACACTGGACTATAAGGAACTTTCATCAGAAACAAAAATATACCATTCCAAATCAACTTTTCGCGATGTTTTCAAATGTGCAATTAGACTTGTTCTATCATTTCTAAGTTTTAATATTATTAAAAAATACTATTTACATATAAAAAAAATAATTAAGAATAAAAAAAATTGTTTTAAATTAATACTGATTTTGATTATTAATATATTAAAAATAAGGAAAATGACTCATTTAACCTATTTTTTTAATCGTTTAAAGTTGATTTTTGTAAATGTTTATAATAAAAAAAACGGTAGCACAGTGTGGACGAGGAATAGATGGGACAAGTATAGATGATATCTGACAGTGATTAAAATCACTATCATAAGAAACGCTTCGATGCAAATCTGTAGATAGTGTTTCATTTAGAGAAATTGGTGGATTATTCCAAAAGCAACATCAACTCTTATTTCTTTAATTATATCCTGATTAGTAGTTCTTTGATTTTAAAATATAATATATGAATAAATACTAATTATAGTTTTTAAATTTAGTATGAAATTGTGAGGCCAGTTATGATGTATGGTTCATAGTGTTGGGCGGTTGATAAGAAAGTAGAGCAGAGAATAAGTGTAGCAGAGATGAGAATGCTTAGTTGGATGAGTGGAGTGACTAGAGAAGATAGGATAAGGAACGAGCATATAAGAGGAAGTATAGGTGTTGCGTCAATCGTGGATAAGATGACAGAAAATAGACTTAGATTGTTTAGTCATGTTATGAGGAGAGAAGAATGGGAAGCTGTAAGAACAGTTATAGAAATTAATTTTGAATCAAGAAGAGGTAGAGGAAGACCAAAAAGGAGATTGAGGGATGTTATTGAATGCAACATGAGGACAGCTGATGTGTGAGCGTAGAAGATGTGGGAGATCGTGTCAAGTGGAAGTTTGGGATGTAGGTGGTCGACTCCAAGTAGTTAGGATTAAGGCAAAGAAAAAGATTACCAGAAATTCCGGTGGCAATTGACATACATAATATTGTTGTTTTTTGGGAATGTACAATTTAGCGTTCACTCGGAGAAAAACCTCGATCTATATAATAAATTCATTGTTCAATTTGATAAATATATCATTACTATTGAATCTATGATATATTTATCAATATGATAATTTTTATTCATAAGAATAATTATTTTGTTCGTATTAATAAAACATTATCATAAACCCTTGATAAAATTTCTCTATCAAAATTGATTAAGGTTTTTCTTTGGGTGTTTAGTTGGATTTAAACAATATAGCGTCAAATCAATTACCTACTCAATCGCTTCTATATTAATATACACTACACTTCTATGATACAATAAATAAATAAACTCGCACATACACACATATGCATTTATAACAATGTGTCTAATGTAAGTATAACATGATAAAGAGTAACCGTAAAATGAAGAAAATGTAATATAAATTTTAGTACTCATATTAAATGTAATGTAACTCGAAAAATATTTGTTTAAATGAAAAAATATAAAATAATTTTTTTATTTATAATTGTNGTTTAAATGAAAAAATATAAAATAATTTTTTTGTTTATAATTGTCTTTTAAACAACTTTTGTACGAAATTTTTTTTTGTAAGTTATAAATTTTTTGAGAAAATTAAAAAAGCTCATATTTTTTAAATTTTGCAAGGCTGTAAAAAAAAGCTCAATTCTAATCAATGAGGACTATTAGTATGTCATTATACATATTTTAATTCAACTTTTAAAAAAACAAAATTTGGTTGAGAATTTTTTCCGCAATTTTTCCTTTGTTGATTGGCCTAGATGTCAATTTTAAACTTGTTATTGAGCTAAAAGTTATGGTAATATATTCAATTTATTTTACTATAAACTTTCATAAATCTTTATCAAAAATTTTTCATCAACTTTAAAGAACCAAAAAAATAGGTTAAAATTGAAAATTTGGACTGATTATTTTTAACATATTAAAAATCAAATCAGTAATAATTTGAAAACAAATTTTTTTTTCTTTTAATTATTATTTTATATGTAATTAGTAATAATATAAAAATGAGAAGTTATAGAAAAAGTCTACTTACAGATTTGAAAACAACGTGAAAAATTTATTTAGGAAAGGATATTTTTGCTTCTGATGAAAGTTCCTTGTAGTCCAGTGCATTTTTTTATAGTAACAAACAGTTTTTATTGAAAATTATTGTATCAAGCCCTTTAAATTTTTATACACGTAAAAGTAAAGCAAAATATAACTTCTTTATTATTTTTATAATTTCTCCGTTTAAATTACAATATTAAATTATTGAATATCAATTTCATATTAAATTTAATAATTATAATTAGTATATATTCATACATTATATTTTAAAATCAAAGAACTACTAATCAGGATATAATTAAAAAAATAAGAGTTAAAGTTGCTTTTGGAATAATCCACCAATTTCCTACTTAGAAAAAAAAAAATTTGGTTGGGAATTTTTTCTGCTATTCGCCAAAATTACTCCTTCGTTGACTAGAATGAATCATTAAATAGAAAATTTTGAGAGAATTAAAACAATGTTAATTTTAAGATTAATATGCAGTCAGGAAATTTTATAATTACTATTTACAGTATATTTATCAGAAAAACTCATTATTTTTTGCATTTTTATCGTAATAGAACACTTAAATAGAAATCATAGTAATCATTTCTAAGTAATTTTTGATATTTAAAAAGATTCTACTATTGAAATATCCAGAACTGAATTAATTTTAATGATTTACTTTAACTAAAAAAAAAAATTATTATGTTGAATCCCTCTTGTGGGCAAGTAAAGGGTTAGATTTATAAAAAAAAAGCCAAATGAAAGATAAAGACATGCATCTATATAAAAAAAAAAATTGTACTGATTTGGTCATTTTTAATAAAGTTTAAGAGTTAACAAAGTTATAAGTTTTATACACTGTACTACAAGGAACTTTCATCAGAAACAAAAATATAATATTCTAAATCAACATTTCGCGATTTTTTTAAATGTGCAGTTAGACTATTTCTATCACTTTTAAATTTTAATATTATTAAAAAATAGTATTTACATATAAAAAAAAATAATTAAGAACAAAAAAAATTTTATTAAATTAATTCTGATTTTGATTATTAATATGTTAAAAATAAGGAAAATGACATATTTAGCCTATTTTTTTAATAGTTTAAAGTTGATTGTTGTAAATGTTTAAAATAAAAAAAAAAAATTTATTTTACTATATCTTTTAGCTCAATTGGCAAGTTTGACATTGACATCATTAAATAGAAAATTTTATGAGAATTAAAAAAATTGTATCGTTAAGATCAATATGCAGTCAAAAAGTTTTATAATTACTATTTATTGTAAATTTATCAGAGCGACAAATATTTTTTTGCATTTTTATGGTAATAGATAACTTAAATAGAAGTAATAGTAATAATTTCCTAGTAACTTTTGTTGTTTGAAAAAATTCTACAATTGAAATATTGAGAACTTAATTAATTTTAATGATTNCGAAATAATTCTACAATTGAAATATTGAGAACTTAATTAATTTTAATGATTTACTTTAACTAAATGAACCAATCAAAACAAAGTTGTTAAAAAGATTTACTCAATTGAGTGTATTATAAAATTTGATTATATTTGTAAAAATCAATTGTTAATTCAGGAGAAAAAACAATCATTTTTTTTAGAAATGATTTATATAGCAACATGTTACAAAAAAATTTGTAATATTATAGTCTAGTAGTAGCACACACAAATAGAGTAAAAAAATTATTAAATTACAAAGTAAAATGATTAAATTTTGTAGTTAAAACCTATGATATCAAACTTCATTCGTTAATAAATATTTTGAAAACATTAGAAATTAATGATTTTAATTGTGTTTATGGAGAACATGTAATAACTAACTGTTTAATTGATAAATTAGAATTTTTTTTTCAATTTTTGAGGATAATATCTTCAACTAGATACGAATTGTAGTNATTATTTTGTTAATTTATTATAACTATTTAAAGTGTTTAATATTAATCTACTGGTTGTTTGTAATAATTTTTATATTTTTGTTTAAGTTGAATTTTATTGTATTGCATAAATTTTAGCAAAGCTCAAAATTGCCGGGCGGTATGTTCTGGCCGATATTAATGTATTTTTTTTTTTTGTTGTTTGTTATCTTTGTTATTGCGCTGCTTGGCCCTATCGCCGTTAGCAGTAGTTAGTTCACTGCAATCCGTCGTTATGGTCAGTGCGATACGTAGTGTTTTATGTTTTATAGTATAGCGTTGTTATCTTAAAATATAATTATAATTAATAAACAAATACTATTATTAATAAAAAAAACGTATATTATACAGTCCATTCAAACCAAGAACAGGGTCCAATCGGCCCGGATCGTACTTAGTAAAATATAATCGTTTACGTATAGTGTATAGTGTTAAATTATTTAAGTGCTAAATTTAACTGGAGTTAAAAAAAATTTCCCGTCCGAAGAGAGGCGTATAACAAACGCAATGGCTGATAACATTGTTTCGCTAAAGGCAGCGCGTGGAGCACTTAAAGGTCAGCTCACAAGAACGTTAAATATACTCAAAACAACACCGGAGAGTTTAGACGCTAATCAGCTGTCGGTGAGAGTAGAGAGAGCTGAAGGAGTATTGTGTGAATTTAACAAGATTCAATTAGAGATAGAAATTGCACTCCCAGAAGAGGATAACGAAAAATATCGTTCTGATTTCGAAGATCTGTATTATGAGACGATAGCTGAGTGCAGAAATATTATTAATAAGCTAAATAAAAATGTAACTACGGATAATATGGAGATTAGAGTTTCTGATATCAATCTAAATAGTTCTAGTCCGAGTAACTTATCGGGTGTTTCAAACGGCAACAACAATGGAATTTATTCGTTTGCAAAACTAGCTCCGATAAATTTACCACAATTTTCGGGCGAGTACTCAGAATGGGCAGCGTTCCATGACATGTACATAGCGCTTATACATTCAAATTCAGCTCTTTCAAAAGTACAAAAATTCTTTTATTTAAAATCGTCATTAAACGGTATAGCAGCTAATGTGGTGAAATCAGTCGAATTAACTGAGGTCAATTACGACTATGCGTGGTCAGCCTTAATAAATAGATATAACAATAAAAAAATGCTCGTTCAAGCCCATACGAAGGCGCTGTATGACATTCAACCAATAACGAAAGAATCTTCGTCTAAATTAAGATGTTTAATAGATAAAATTATTAATAACATGAATGCTTTAGAGACCCTCGGGCAAGACCCTAAAGCTTGGGGTTCTTTACTCGTGCATTTGATAACGTCTAAGTTAGATCAAAAAACTTTAAAGGAGTGGGAAACTGAGGCGCCGAAAACAGTGGTACCCTCCGTATCAACATTAATGGATTTCTTGGAAACTAGATTTAAAATACTTGAGGCTGTAGAAAGTTCGTGCAGTTCAAATGACAAGTCTGAGAAAAGATCCTACGAAAATTATGAAGAAGGAAAGGCGCAAGAAAAAAAATGGCAAAATAAAACAGTTATGCACGTAGCGACAACGAAATTTAAATGTTACGTGTGTA